GGTAAGGGGTAAAATGTCAATATCTGATTTTTAACAAACTTCCACTTTAAATGTTGCTGAATGCAGGTTTAACATTCAGAATAATAGCTCATGCAGATCAAAGCCTGAAGGCCAATCTGGGGAGATTAAAAGAGGGTCCTTCTGTCACTGCATGAGGAAACACACACACACACACACACACACACACACACACACACACACACACACACACACAAAACAAGCACTGAACAAGAACAATTTATTGTTTTACATGACCTTCGCTGGTTACTGGAGATTTGTCCGCAACAAATTTCACTCTCTATTATTCTAGTAAATATGTGAAAAACATTCAAAGCCATAACTCATGTATTAAACCCATTATACTACCACATGCTTCCTAGGTTCTCCCAACAGTCATTGCCCCAGAGCAGTTTGTCAAGAAATGTAGATGCAGCCCCCGATGAATGTTGCAGAGAGACAATGTCAAGAAAACCTCCCTAGCATCATGAGGAACAACCACTGAGAGGAACCAAGACTCAAAATGGCAATCCATCCCCCTCTGAGCTGCACCGGATAGTCTGTTTATCCAATAAATGAGATTTACTAAGCAAGACCATTTAAAACCATTACTCCTTCATTACGTTTCATCACACTTAGGCCTGATCAATATCTAAAAATAATTAACACAATAACTCCTTGTTAAGTGAAAAAGAAAATATGATGATGATGCACTGTATAATCAGTAAACACTGAATTATACTCTCCTCTGAAATGATCTGGATGGGAATATCATGTTAACAATGTGAAATGAGTAACATGCAATGAAGCCTCTGCATTAAACACACTGCCGGACATCTGATGGTCCCGTTTCAGAGGTCACAAAGGTCACAGCATGCTGTCTGTGAGGTTATAGGTCAGCATTGGCGTGAGGACAATGTTGCGTAACAGCTCTCTGAATTGTGTGTGTGTTTCAGCATTTTACACACTTCATGTTAATAAAACACAGTCAATCTCAATAATTTTACTACTAAACGGGATTTACTAAACAATATTGTACATTTAAATTAATATCTAATTTGTTACATTCATTACAAACAGTCATTTCTATTTTAATCCCTACAGTGCCAGTGTTATTTTAACAGCTACAATGTTATAGTGCTCCATTAACATCTACAGTATTACATTAACAAATTGTTGAGCCTTAATGCATACATTGTTGCAATGACACATTGCCATACTGCTTAAACACTTACAGTGTTGCATTATTATCTGCAGAGCTGCATTAACACACTACAATGATGCATTAAGAGATACAGCATTGCATTAACATCTAGTGCTGCATAAGCACACTGCAGAGATGAATTAAAACCTACAGTGTTGCATTAACCACTGGTTCTCAAACTGGTCCTCAGGGAACCCCCAGACAGTCCACTTACTACAGTCCAGATTGCTACAACCTAACTTGCATCAGAAAAATGAGATACAGCAAAAATGTGGACCATCTGGGGGTCCCTGAGGACCAGTTTGAGAACCACTGCCATTAATATGTTTTAGTGGTGCATTAACACCTCCAGTGTTGAATTATCACATTACAATGTGGCATTGACCCACTAACAATAACAGTGTTAAATTAACTCATTGCAGTTTCCCACTAACATCTACAGTGTTGAATTAACACATTGCAATTTTACACTAACACCTACAGTGTTGAATTAACATGTTGCAGTTTCCCACTAACACCTCCAGTGCTGAATTAACACATTGCAGTTTTACACTAACACCTACAGTGTTCAATTAACACACTTCAGTTTTACACTAACACAATACTGAATTAACACACTGCAGTTTCCCACTAACACCTACAGTGTTGAATTAACACACTGCAGTTTTACACTAACACAATCTTGAATTATCACATTGCAGTTTCCCACTATCATCTACAGTGTTGAATTAACACACTGCAGTTTCCCAGTGACACCTACAGTGTTCAATTAACATGTTGCAGTTTCCCACTAACATCTACAGTGTTGAATTATCACACTGCAGTTTTACACTAACACAATGTTGAATTAATACATTGCAGTTTCCCACTAACACCTACAGTGTTGAATTAACACACTGCAGTTTTACACTAACACAATCTTGAATTATCACATTGCAGTTTCCCACTATCATCTACAGTGTTGAATTAACACACTGCAGTTTCCCAGTGACACCTACAGTGTTCAATTAACATGTTGCAGTTTCCCACTAACATCTACAGTGTTGAATTATCACACTGCAGTTTTACACTAACACAATGTTGAATTAATACATTGCAGTTTCCCACTAACATCTATAGTGTTGAATTAACACACTGCAGTTTTACACTAACACCTACAGTGTTGATTTAACACATTGCAGTTTTACATTAACACCTCCAGTGTTAATTCAACACATTGCAATTTTACACTAACACCTCCAGTGTTGAATTAACACACTGCAATTTTACACTAACACCTCCAATGCTGAATTAACACATTGCAGTTTTACACTAAAACCTAGTGTTCAATTAACACACTTCAGTTTTACACTAACACAATATTGAATTAACACACTGCAGTTTCCCACTAACACCTACAGTGTTGAATTAACATGTTGCAGTTTCCCACTAACACCTCCAGTGTTTAATTAACACATTGCAGTTTCCCACTAACACCTAGTGTTGAATTAACACACTGCAATTTTACACTAACACAATATTGAATTAACACACTGCAGTTTCCCACTAACACCTACAGTGTTGAATTAACACACTGCAATTTTACACTAACACCTCCAATGCTGAATTAACACATTGCAGTTTTACACTAAAACCTAGTTTTCAATTAACACACTTCAGTTTTACACTAACACAATATTGAATTAACACACTGCAGTTTCCCACTAACACCTACAGTGTTGAATTAACATGTTGCAGTTTCCCACTAACACCTACAGTGTTGAATTAACACATTGCAGTTTTTACACTAACACCTATAGTGTTCAATTAACACACTTCAGTTTTACACTAACACAATATTGAATTAACACACTGCAGTTTCCCACTAACACCTACAGTGTTGAATTAACACACTGCAATTTTACACTAACACCTCCAATGCTGAATTAACACATTGCAGTTTTACACTAAAACCTACAGTGTTGAATTAACACACTGCAATTTTACACTAACACCTCCAATGCTGAATTAACACATTGCAGTTTTACACTAAAACCTAGTTTTCAATTAACACACTTCAGTTTTACACTAACACAATATTGAATTAACACACTGCAGTTTCCCACTAACACCTACAGTGTTGAATTAACATGTTGCAGTTTCCCACTAACACCTACAGTGTTGAATTAACACATTGCAGTTTTTACACTAACACCTATAGTGTTCAATTAACACACTTCAGTTTTACACTAACACAATATTGAATTAACACACTGCAGTTTCCCACTAACACCTACAGTGTTGAATTAACACACTGCAATTTTACACTAACACCTCCAATGCTGAATTAACACATTGCAGTTTTACACTAAAACCTAGTTTTCAATTAACACACTTCAGTTTTACACTAACACAATATTGAATTAACACACTGCAGTTTCCCACTAACACCTACAGTGTTGAATTAACATGTTGCAGTTTCCCACTAACACCTACAGTGTTGAATTAACACATTGCAGTTTTTACACTAACACCTATAGTGTTCAATTAACACACTTCAGTTTTACACTAACACAATATTGAATTAACACACTGCAGTTTCCCACTAACACCTACAGTGTTGAATTAACACACTGCAGTTTTACAATAACACAATGTTGAATTAACACATTGTAGTTCCCCACTAACATCTATAGTGTTGAATTAACACATTGCAGTTTCCCACTAACACCTAGTGTTGAATTAACACACTGCAGTTTCACACTGACACCTACAGTGTTGAATTAACACACTGCAGTTTTACACTAACACAATGTTGAATTAACACATTGTAGTTCCCCACTAACATCTACAGTGTTGAATTAAGACACTGCAGTTTCCCACTAACACCTAGTGTTGAATTAACACACTGCAGTTTTACATTAACACCTCCAGTGTTGAATTAACACACTGCAGTTTCCCACTAACACCTACAGTGTTGAATTAACACACTGCAGTTTTACAATAACACAATGTTGAATTAACACATTGTAGTTCCCCACTAACATCTATAGTGTTGAATTAACACACTGCAGTTTCCCACTAACACCTAGTGTTGAATTAACACACTGCAGTTTCACACTGACACCTACAGTGTTGAATTAACACACTGCAGTTTTACACTAACACAATGTTGAATTAACACATTGTAGTTCCCCACTAACATCTACAGTGTTGAATTAAGACACTGCAGTTTCCCACTAACACCTAGTGTTGAATTAACACACTGCAGTTTTACATTAACACCTCCAGTGTTGAATTAACACACTGCAGTTTCCCACTAACACATTACACTGCCGCAGTTACACATTAGTGATGCATTAATATCTACATTATATTACATACTACATATATTATTCTGAATTATGTTATGCCTATGCAGCATTAACATGTATATCATGTCACACCAGGAGATTAAAACACACACATACACACACATCACACAGTGCATCCTCCATTCCCTTAGCTCTGATCCGGGTACTTGAAGCATCCGCGTGAGTGAGGTTTCATTACTACCGCACAATCGAGTCAGTGTGGGGCCGAGAACACACTGTCAATCATACGACCATAAAACCAGCACAGCCACTGCACGAAGACATTAAAAACAAAGCAGTCTCTTAGGCGGTGCAGCGCAAACACACACACACACACACACACACACACACACACACACACACACACACCCTGCTGAGCACACAGTGCTGCCCTCGCGTGCAAAACACAAGGACAAACTGCATTAGCCGTGCCGTTGTTGTTTCAGAGAGACCGCGTCTCTGCTTACCTGAGTGGCTTTGTGGAACTGCTTCTTCAGTCCGGCTACAGACATGACTCCAACTGCGGGTCAACGACGTGTGCGCGCGCGTGTGTATGTGTGCGTTTACCTGCTGTGTATGTTTCTCTGTCGTGTGTGTGTGAGACCGTGCGCCTTGTGTCGTGCTGCAGGTGAAATCCTCGCTCAATGTCTTCCACCACAGGGATGTCCTGCAGAGGGGGCGGGGCTTAGCGCTGATCAGACCACAAAGCACCAATCATCGCGTTCCTACTCTTTTGACGTCACACCGACACCTATTTCTGATATGCAGGGCCAAGCGGTCCAAAATCCCGCCATTCCGCCATTCCTCAGTCAATCTACCCCTCCATGGCTTCTTCTATCACTCTATCCTTCCATTCATCCCACTCTTCCTCCGTCCATTCCTTCTTCATTCCTCTATCCTATTATCCCTTTCTCAACCTCTCTATCCATCTCTCTACATGTCCCTCCTTCCCTCTAACCATCCATCTCTCCATCTATCCCTTCCTCAATCCTTACACTTAACCACAGCTCAATCCATCCATCTCTTCACCCCATCCATTTCTCCATCATTCCCCATCCCCCAGTTTCTCCATCCATTACTCAATCTTTCAACCCTCCATTCATTCCTCCTTCCATTCTTTCCTAAATCCCTCCATGCTTTAATTCATCCATCTCTCAAGCCATCCATGCCTATTTCTCTCTATCTATTCATCCATCCTTCCTTTATCTAGCTGTGCTTGTGTCTCAATATGTGGATTTATTTTTTTCCTTATCCATTTTTAATGGAGATGAGTCACAGGCTTGGTTTACATACCAAGTGGAGAACTCATTAAAAATCGTATTAAAAATGATGACATCACTGTGTATACTTACACAAGTTAAGTGCTGTTTTTCTGTGCTGAGGACTGTGTGTATCTGATACAGCTGATGACCGGGTTGTTTCTGTGTGGTCAGAAACATCAGGTTTGATTACATGTTTGCTTAACCCCTTCATTGGCCATGGCCTGCTAACTGGCCCAAAGTTTTATTACACACTTCTATATTCTAAGAATAGCCCAACCAGTTTGCATTGAAGTCCCTGTAGTTAGTGAATAATAAGCCTTAGTATGTAATAAGCCTGGGATTTTAAGGGGTTAAAGTTACACTAAGCAAGGTTTGGGGATTTGGAGACCCCCTGGTGAAAATGGGTAATGGCACTCAGGGTGCGGAAGGACATTTTATAATGTCAGTTGTGCTTCGATCTGCTTTCCCGGTGGAAGAATCTGATGACTGTGAGTCAAACCTTGGTGAAGGATGTGACATCTGATGATGTAAGTGAATTATCTACTATTGTCATCATATCTTCATTACTATAATGTTGATTTTGATGTTGACCTAAACATCAACCCAGGCCTTCCTTTTTAATCACTGTGTGTGACACCTCTGACTTTTGAATTATTATTTCAGGCTTTATAGGGTGCTTCTTCTTCCTGACTTAGTAATGCTACTTCTTCAAATTTTACCCAAAATATTAAAGAAAGGTTTAAAAACTGTATTGTTACACCTTCAGTCTAGACATATGACTGCTTTCGTTTTTGTCATTCTTTATTTTCTTGACACTTTCAGGCACGGCTGCTATGTCATTATGTGTCTACAACTCGTATTGCTCCATATTGTACACAACACATATGCTTTTAATGTACTTCTCACTGCTCTTGATATTGAATGTTATGATTCGTGTCATCACCTTCTCCTGGGCCGCTGTTAGCTTTTTAAAATTGTTTTGAAAAAGGCCTTTTAGTTAAAGTCTTTTAGATAAACCACTTAATTTTCAGTAAAGTTTTTGACATTAGGCTAAAATCTCACAGATCAGTAATTTTTGACAAGAGTGGAGGGAGATTAAAAAGAGCGCTTTACAGAACACCTGCATCTAATCCGTATTCAAAAGGAACAGGAAGAATAATCAGGCTTACATGTGGAGGCAGACGTGGAATAAAAATTTTGAACCCATTGGCCTCTCCAACTCTTAAAAGTCATTTAGAAAGAGCAGCACTATTGATTTCACAACTGCCGAAATACACCACCAACCAAATCTACCAATACAACAAGGTTTAGTCAGTTAAGAAGGCCTCATCACATCCGTTTAATCTGGAACCTTCAGCTCATAAACTGTATGAAATGTTGTCTAAATGTGAACCCTAGTTTGGCCTCTAAATGTCTTACAGAGACACAGACGGAAATTACATCACTCACCCACAGCCTCCCCCGTCTATTCTTAGCTACTCAACACGCAAGGACAGCATTAGGTTATTTAAAGCCACGCTGGGTTATTTAAAGCTACAGTCAAACACATACAAACCAATCCAAACCTTAAAGTGTGGTTATTTAACTAATTATTATGTGTGATTATAAAATTTACAGGTTTGATAATATTCTAAAAAACCTGCATGTTTCATGGCAGTATGTTCAAAGGTTGTTTTTTTACTGATCAATGAATCAAAAATGGATGTAAAGATAGGAAATAGACAACTGAGCATGTTTATCACTATTTCGTTGGTCCTTCTCTACATTGTTTATTAATGAGCTAATTGTTCTTATATGTCATCTAGGATCAGAGGCCTGTCTCACAAAGCACATTTGACATGCTTTCAGACAGAGTTCTTGACTAAGTTTCATATCACAAACACAACAAATGAAACCTCGGTTAGTTTGTTTTATAACAACTTCCTCTGTTAATCCAGGTTTAGATATTTAAACTGGGATTAATCCTCATGCACAAGAACATAAAATCATGATTTTTTAAAGAAGGAAGAAAAATTCTATGTAAATATGTACAAAGTAAAACATATAGAGGAGTAGAAATGCAACCCACTAACACTGTTTTAGTGCTTATTGGAGTAGCTTATCCTATATTGGGAGATATCTATGTAGTATAGTATGACTTGCTTCCTCTGCCAAAAAGTGATATTCTTTGACGCCACAAAAAAAGTAAGCCTCTGTCAGTCCCTGATTGGTCAGAAGCTCACTCGGATTGGTCCAAGAGCTGTTCATGATCCAAAATGCTGACCTCAACCTGCTCTGAGGTGGGTTTGGTGTACAGTTTAAGTTCCAGTGAACATGTAGCACACTAAGAAGTGTTCTGTTATGACAACTAAACCAAAATTTAACTGGCTAAGCAAGAAATTCAAATGCTGCTTTGTGAAACAGGCCCCAGATTCCCAGACACAGATTACACCTGAACCTAGATTAAAGGAAATTTCCAGTGGTGATTTAGCATTGGCTCTATAATTTGGGCCAAGACCAGGCTGAGACCGAAAACTGGCCCCTAGTGTTTGCCTGCACAGTGCAATGTGTCTGTTTGCACCCTCCATGTTTATATTCTCCCTCTTGTCTCTGTCCATGTGCCCTTTTTTTGTTTTGGTTCCCTGCCTCACCCTTGTCTCATGTGTTGCTCCACTGTCTTGTCCTGTCATTGTTCCTAGGCGTTCCCTGTTTGAATTTCCATATATATGTATACCCCATGTCTTTGTATTTTGGTTTGCCTGGCTTTGTAAGTGTTGCATGATGCTGTTCAGTTCTGTAATTTTTCCTTCCAGTTTAGTTTCTAGTTATTCTGTTTTTATAGTCTATTTTTCTTAGTCTACTCTATTTGTTTTCTCTTGTAGATTCCTCTGCTGTCATTACGGACTATAATAAAACTATGGACTCACACTTGCATCCTGCCTCCTCACCTCCTCCTTCATTACACACCTTAAATTAATTTGTGTTTTCACACAACTACTTTATTTCTTTAACTGTCCACCAGAGGAAGCATGAAACACAGCTACTAATAAATTATACAACACATTTTTCATACTGAATGCTCTAAAGGAAGTGCTTCCCACTCATTCTTCACTAGTCACCCTGTTCATGTCATCAACAATTTCCTCCACCTCAAACTACTTGACAAGCAATATGGCATCTCGCATTGTGCTAGGACATTAATGTAGAGTTTGTCCCTCTTTGCTGCAGTAAAAGTCTCTACTCTTCTGGGAACGCTTTACACTAGATGTTGGAACATTGCTGTGAGGCTGTGATTGCATTCAGCCACAAGAGCATTAGTGAGATCAGGTACTGGTGCTGGATGATGAGTCCTGGCTCACAAACACCACTCCAACTCATCCCAAAGGTATTGGATGGAGCTCCATCACTCCAGAGAATGCAGTTTCACTGCTCCACAGCCCAATATTGTGGGGCTTTACACCCGTCCATCCGATGCTTGGCACTGGGCATTGAGACCTTAGGCTCATGCACAAATGCTCATGGACATTTTTTGGCAATGCTTTTCTATGGCAACTATATTAGCTATGTGTGTGCAATGTCTGTGTCAGCAATGGGTGCACCTTAAAGTAGATGAATTCACTAATTAGAAGGGCTGTCTGGATAATTTCAGATATCCAGTGTACTGTTCATAAATTCTTGAAAATGGAATACATTGTAAATATATTTTACATTGTAAATATAGTGTTTTGTTAATAAAAGATGTGACATAAAATTATATAACATGGTTAACGCTGGTTGCCTGCAGTGTTCGTCAAATCTTTCAGCACCACGGACAGCAGCCAGCTCAGAGTATAGTGTTTCAGCTCAGGCCCAGTGACTCTAATAACCGTTTTTGTATTTAACCAATCTATACTTTTTTTCAGCTAATGTTAATGAGATGAATTATGTAAGTAGAGAGAGATGTAAGTAGAGAGTGGGAATGGGCCATGACAAACTTTGGAAGAAATAAAATTGGAAACTGAATGAACTTACTAACTAAGTAAATAACTAAAATCATAGATTATTTTTTTAAATAAACAGTGTTTTGCTAATGATTTAGTGTTTTATCTGCTCGTTCAACTTATCAGCTTATTAAAGTACTTACTTTAACACTCCTTATAACTTCAACATGAATAAGCAATTTACATTACTATAGGCTGAAAAGGTGGATATAAGTAAACTGGATTTGGTTACACCAGAAAACAATACATACAACATACTTCAAGAAAAACAAGGAAAATTAAATTTTCTATTATGATATGAGCCCTTTAAAGTAAGTAAATTCACAAATTAGAAGTGTACTTTTAGACATAGAGTGTACCACTGGCCAAAGGAGTGGTGCCCTAAACACAGTTACGTCAGTACAACGGCAGACTTTCAGTTACTTGT